CCAGGACCAGGACTGGACACCCTGCAGACACACTGACCCCTCCAGGACCAGGAATGTCCATTGCTGGTTTGAGAGTTTGCTCCCAGGAAATGACAGAATGAAAAGACCCTTTGCTGTGTGAAGTTTGCTTTTGGAAATGATTTTTTCTGAGCTGAACCACTTGTAAGCTAATTCTGGCTGTTCGCTGAAGCAGTTCGGATAACCGCTGTGGTAGAACAAGATTCCTTTATTATCAGACACATATACCTGATGCAGGCCCCTTCAAACCTGGTACTCATGCCCCTACAAAAACACTTCTGCTTCAATCTGCGTGGTTTTTTCCCCAGCGCGCATTAGAATCAGTCAGGCTGGCTTGTTCTTCAGAATGAATTCCAGTTTAACGCTTTCTTAGAGGACTGTTCCTCATAACTAAGAGCACTGCTGTGAGCTGTGGACTGAATTAGTGGAAAAACACACATTAAAAATGAGGCCTATGGGCTTCAGTTCTCTATTTCGTTGGCGCTTGCTGTTCTGTTATCACTAAGCTGCATGGTGTTTTGTACCTCGCAGGTAAAGTACAGTAATATTTCTCACATGTGGGCTCTTTCTGTTAAGTGGTTCAAAGCATTCTTTAAACCTGACTCATGTTGACCAGTTCTTTGCTGTACCCGAGGTCTGTAAAAACGTAAATAAATCGTGTTGTACTGTCAGCAGACCTGAAAAAAGTAATCCCCTCCTTTTTTGCAGGGTGGAAAAATTCCTGTGTGTGTGTGTGTGTGTGTGTGTGTGTGTGTACTTGTGCACTCCTGGCTAGATGCAGATGAGGAGCTGAGACAGAGAGGGCACGGGAAAAGAAATATAACAGAATATTAAACCACTGCCAATGGGGAAAATAAAGTAGTTCCTTATATGGCATTTTGGGGATTTGAAGTTAGACTGCAATATATTTCAAATCAAAAACGGATTCCACTCTTAAATTGTGAAGCAATTGTGCATTTTTAAAGGGTCTGTGGTGCCACGCGTCATTCTGCTGTGTTCCCCCAGATAGACTTCCAGTTGGGCCAGTCTTTGTAACTGGTGGGCACCTCCCAATATGGCATCTCTGGCTCCTCCTGTCACAGAGAAAGGCTCATTGCCTTAGCAGGTCTCCTTGTGCACAATTCTCACGGGCACCACCAAAAGCCCTGCCTTCGGACATTGAGAGTGGAAAACCGACGTGTGTTAGCAACACGCCGGCTGAGTCAGGCTGTGCCGGAGTTTCAGTTCAGTGGCGCTGGAGGTGAATCAGAACTTCTGCACCCCGCCTGCAAGTTTCAGAATGCACACTTTGCGGTGCCACCAGTATCTGTGTACATTCTTCTGCGCTGGAGTCAGAGAATGGCCCATTTTCACCGTCCCAGTACAGCATAACCAAAGCATGAGTAAGCCACTTCGTGGTTTCCAGCATGCAAGATGAGAAGCAGTATGCGCACTGCCTGAGGATGCCCCTGAAAAAGAATTGAAAAAAAAAATACACAAACCTCCAACCATCTCTTCCAGATCATGCAGTGACAAAGAGGCTGGATACAAATCCACATGTCTTCAGTTAGCGCTGCCGGTTACATCTTAATTAAAACAGAACCCAACTGCGGACGCAGGCGGGTAAATCATTTTTAATGGGGTCTCGCGTCAGATTGCAAAGAATAGGATCAATGTTCAGGATTCGTCATCTGCAGAACGAGATTTACGGCTGTGGTCCACCACTCGCCCACTCGCGTGTGCCAGAACATGACAGAGAACAGTCTTATGTCACTGGGAGATGTCGCAAGATGTCTTTGGGAAATGGATTGCGTTCTGTGTTGTGGTGTTTTTCTCTTCCAGTAATTCTGCCCGTCTGGAGAACAGAGCAGTTGTCAGTGAAGAAGCACGCGCTCGGTTATATCCTTTTGTAACAAGGAAGGAGTGATGGAGCCTGACCTGCACTGCCTGTCAGTGGGTGATGCAGCAGTTATCGTCAGTCAAGGTTTATGTATCGGTGCAGTACAGCGGTGTTGTCGGCAATGAAATGCTTTATCCGCGAGCTGGTTAAGAGGGATAGAAGAGTAGGAGGAGAGAAGTTTATAGGGATTAGGTTAGGATCACGATACAATAAATTATACAATTGCTATTTATAATACAGTTACAGACTGTGCGAACAAAACACGAGGTTAGGAGGTATTTAGCCCTGTTCGTATGTGTCCTGAGAGTGCAAAGTGACAGGAGGGTGCCGGTGCACCCTATCAGTTCAAGGACGTTGCCCGTTCGCCAGCGGCCGTCTGGGTAAATGCAGGCCTCTGCTGTGTCTGGCTGTTATCAT